CGGGACAGTGGTGGGGACAGTGGGACAGTGGTGGGGACGGTAGTGGTGGGGACAGTGGTGAAGGCGGTGGTGAGGACAGTGGTGGGACAGTAGTACAGTGGGGAGAGTGGTGGGGACAGTGGGGACAGTGGGACAGTGATGGGGATAGTGGGGACGGTGGGACAGCACAGTGGGACAGCGGCGGGGACAGTGGGACGTTGGTGGGAACAGTGGGGACAGTGGGACAGTGGTGGGGACCGCGGGGAAAGTAGGGGGAGTGGGACCGTGGTGGGACAATGGTGGGGAGAGTGGGGACAGTGAGACACTGGTGGGGCGCACTGGTGGGACAGCGGGGACAGTAGTGGGAACAGTGGGGATAGTGGGACAGTCGTGGGGACTGGTGGTGGGGACAGTGGTTTGGGGACAGTGGGAATGTGGAGGAAACAGTGGGACAGTGGAGGGTACAGTGGTGGTGGCGACAGTGGTGAGGGCGGTGGCGAGCACGGCGGTGGGATATTGGGACAGAGGTACAGTAGGGGCAGTGGTGGGGACAGTGGGGACAGTGGTGGGAACAGTGGGACAGCTCAGTGGGACAGCGGCGGGGACAGTGGGACAGTGGGACAGTGGGGACAGTGGGACAGTGGTTGGGGCCGTGGAGAAAGTGGGGAGATTGGAACCGTGGTGGGAACAGTGGTGGGGACAGTCGGGACAGTGCGACAGTGGTGGGGGCACTGGTGAGGACAGTGGTGACGGTGGTGGGAACAGTGGGGACAGTGGTGGTGAGGACAGTGGTGCTGGGGACAGCAGTGGGGGATGTGGTGCGAACGGTGGTAGGGACCCAGAGTTGCGTGCTGGCGTTGAGCGTGGGGGGGGGGAGGGGTTCGAACCGGTAGTGACCCCCCTCCGGTTTTCGAAGGGGGGTGGGTTCGAACCAGTAGTGACCCCTCCCGGTTTTCGAGAGGGGGGGGGGTTTCGAACCGGTAGTGGCCCCCCCCCGGTTCCCCCCCCGGTTTTTCGAGGGGGGGGGGGATTCGAACCGGTAGTGACCCCCCCCCCGCGGTTTTCCAGAGGGGGCGGGGGGTTCGAGAGGGTGGGGGGGGGGTTCAAACCGGTAGTGAGCCCCTCCCGGTTTTCCGGAGGGAGGGGGGGGGGGTTAGAGGAGGGGGGGGGGTTTGCGGGGGGGAGGGGGGGGGGGGGTTCGGGGGGGGGGGGGGGGGGACCCCCGGGTTCCGGAGGAAGAGGGGGAGGAATTTTCCACAGTAAAGCGGCGGTGGATCACGCTCTCTCTGATGTGATGATGATGATGATGCTGATGATGCTGATGCTAATGCTGATAATGGTGATGGTGATGATGCTGCTGATCATGACGAAGAAGACAGCAGGAGGAAGAGGAGGATGGCGAGGAGGATTAGGAAGAAAACACGGTGGAATGAGAGGGGAGTGAGGATGAGGATGAGGAGGTGGACCAGAGTAAACCCAGGATTCGTCAACGATGCTGGAATACACACTTCCGTCCCAAGTCGCTTCTTCGTACGGTCCCTGCAGCTACTCCCTGCCACTGCAGGAAGCGCCCCCCTTGAATAACGAGGGCCGGCAACATGGATGTGTTTGTGGGCTTCACGATCAAGTCAGAGGGGCTGCTTTCGTTTGGCCGCTAACGGAATTATGAATACGTCCGAGGTTCCAGTGGAAGGCTCGCAGGGCCCCTTTGCTGCCGCGTTCGGGCTGCCGACGGTGTACTCTGGTAGTGGGGTCAATCAGAGCATGCTGGAACCCGTGAATACGCCGGAAGTGCGCATGGGCGCCATGCCTAAGACCCGCATCGCAACATAGCGCGGCTCTGGTGACTTCCGCAGAGGCCATATGAAGGCGTTGACGACCCGCGCTGGTCGTGGCTCAGCGGCACAGGCGGCGCGGTCAAAAGAAAGGGCATGGAGTGCGCGGCAGTGCGAGAATGCGCAAGCGTGTTGATTTGCCTTCCCGAACATCAGGTTCAGGAAAGCAACATGTTATTAAGGTCTGTATATCCCAGTCGTGGGGGCACCCTTTGGAAGCCCTGCGTCGCATGAAAAGGATGGCGGAGGATGTGGATGAGGCGGGGTGCCCAAGATCTGTCACTTTGGGACCTTCCTCCGCCGCCTACCGCCAGAGAACACTCGAACGCCTTTCGGTTCCCAGCGGGATGGAGTCCCTGAGATCCGAGGTCGCGCCTCGCGAAAATCACGCCTCGAGCGCTAGACCCCACCTTGCTGCGTTATTTTCCGAGCCGGGGCGATCTGTGAGGGTCCCGGGCCTCGAGACGGGGCGAAAACGCCTTTTGTGAAAACATTGCAGCGCCTGGATCTGAGGTGTCTCGCTGCTGCCCCTCTGACGCCTTCCTCCTGGCGGCCTTGTAGCCTCCAATGGCGCGAGGACAGCCGCTGGCCGTTCCCGCGCCCGCGCTCTCCCGCCCAAGCCCTCTCGGCGCCGCGGCGTCGCCGGCGCGGGCAGGTTCCTGTCCTCCCAGCAGGGTCGCACCGAGGACGCGGGGGGGTTGATGATGGCGATGGTGATGATGGTGATGATGATGCTGATGCTGATGATGATGATGACGATGATGCTGATGACGATCACGATTATGATGATGGTGATGATGATGGTGATGATGATGCTGATGATGATTATGATCATGCTGATCATGATGATGAGGATAATGATGATGACGATGATGGTGGTAATGCTGATAAGGCCGATGTTGATGATGATGCTGATGATGATGACGATGAGGATGCGAATGATGATGCTGAGGATGATACTGATGCTGATGACGACCACTTTGATGATGATGACGATGACGATGATGATGACGATGCCGATGATGATGCTGATGCTGATGCTGCTTCTGATGATGATGTGGCTGATGATGGTGATGGTGATCATGATACTGATGCTGACGAAGGTGATGCTGATGATGATGGTAATGATGATGTTGCTGATGACGATGCTGATGATGATGGTGATGAGGATACGGATGACGCCGATGATGATGCTGATGACAGCGATGATGACGATGATGAGGAATAATGCTGATGATGATGCGGTGCTGATGCTGATGAGGATGATGATGATGCTGATGCTGGTGGTGATGATGATGGTGCTGTTGTTGTTGGTGGTGATGATGATCATGATGACGATGATGGCGATGATAATTATGCTCATGGCGATGCTGACGATGCCGACGCTGGGGATGCTGATGATGGCGCTCTTGTTGCTGATAGTGGTAATGGTGACGATCTTGTTGATCGTGCTGATGATGATCACAGTGATGATGACGATGACGAGGATGACGATGATGATGCTTTTGATGATGTTGTTGTCCATGGTGATGATGGCGATACTGATGATGATGCCGATGACGACTACGATGCCGATGATGACGCTGACGATAGCGATGATGATGCTGATGCTGCTGATGATGGTGTTGTTGATGATGATGGTGATGATGCTGCTGATGATGATGATGCTGATGACAGTACCGATGACGATGGTGACGATGACGATGATGACGATGATGCTGCTGCTGATGCTGACGATGATGATGTTGTTGATGATGCTGATGCCAATGGTGGTGATGGTGATCATGATGATGTTATTGATGATGCTGATGATGATGGTGATGCTGATGGCGGTGGTGATGATGATGCTGATGACGATGACGATGATGATGATGATGATGATGATGATGATGATGATGATGAGGATGAGGATGATGATGTTGATGATGATGAGGATGATGATGACGAGAACTGATGGATCAGTGGACGGGGTAGGTGGTGGGCTGCTGTTGTTGCAGACTTCCGTAGTCACTTAGGCTCGAGCTTCAGTCTTCAGGGGCGCACTCAGGACGTTCAGGGGTGGGAGGGAAGGGTGGACTTTCGTTTTGTCCGCTTTCGTTCCGTACTCTTTCGGTTCGTCCTGTTCGGTTTCGTCTTCTCTCGTTTCTTCTTTCGTTTCGTTTCTTTCCGTTCCGTCCAGTCGAGTCTAAGCGGACGAATCGAAGCGGACGAAACGAAGCAGACGACATTAATTTCGGACGACATGAAGCGGACGGACTGCAATTCGGACGAAAGAAGCGGAACCGAACAAAAGGGGGGGGGTGGCATTGGCGAGCTTGGCTGCCGCACTGGGCCCATTCATCCGCTTTTGTTGTTGTTGTTGTTGTTGTTGTTGTTGCTGCTGCTGTTGTTGTTGTTGTTGTTGTTGTTGTTGTTGTTGTTGTTGTTGTTGTTGTTGTTGAATTTTCATTTCTGAAGAATATTTATTGTTGATCCCCCCTCACCGGTGCATACTGGTTTTTCTCGACGCTCGCACCCTGCTTTTTGACAGGGGAAGTCTTGATGCTCAAACTGCGCGCCTGGCCCCCGGGTTACAACAGCAACGGCTCCCGCTTGAGACATCCTCACAATTCAGCCAGAACCCCGGCTCCCGCCCGAGACTTCCTCGCATGTTATTCAGGAATCGCGCTCTCGCTTCGGACTTTCCTATAATTTGTACCGGAATCGCTCTCCCGGCGCTCTGGAGTCGCGCTCTCGCTGGAGACTTGCTTGCAATTCACTGAAGAATAGCGCCAGTGCGTTGGAATTTCTTCCAATTTGCTCAAGCGCCGCGCTCCCGACACCCAGGCAGGCACCCAGGAGTCGCGCCCGTTGTGGCCCTATGTGCATGATCTTCGTGGCCCCGCGGTCGCCGTTTGTGGCCCCCTCACTGTCCTACGTGGCCCAGTTGCTACCCTCAGTGGCCCCATCGTTGTCCTCTGTGGCCCCGCAGTATCTGCCCTTCGTGGCCCCCGCTCGTTCGCGCTCTTCGTGGCCCCGCTGTCGCCTTTCGTGGCCTACTTCGTGTCTTTCGTGGCCCTGCTGTGGTTCCCTCTCGCTCTCGCTTTCGCTCGTCGCCGTCGTCGTCGTCGTCGCCGTCGTCGTCGACGTCGTCGTCGTCGTCGTGGTCGGTCCCCTGTCCGTCCCTTTTGGTGTCGGGTCGACGGTCCGCGGCCGCCCCGCCGATCAGCGCTGCCGCTGGCCAGGCCGACGGTCTGCGGGGGCCCCGCCGCTTGCCGGGGCCCGGCTTGCAGGGAAGAAAGGTATACGAAAAGGGGTTCGATCGAAGACGAAGAGGGCGGGTATCGAGGGTTTGGGAAATACGCGTTTTGAACACTCGAGCAGATAAGGGCGAACAGTCTTAAAATGATCGTTGTTGTTGTGGTTGTTGTTGTCGTCGGCCTTGTTGTTGTTATTTTGGTTGTTGTTGTTGTTGTGGTTGTTGTTATTATTGTTATTGTTGTTGTTGTTGTTGTTGTTGTTGTTGTTGTTGTTGTTGTTGTTGTTTTGTTGTTGCTGTTCCCCATATCCTAAGATGGGTTTCTTGTAATTATTTGGACGCCTCCTACTCGTCCCTCCTGTTCTTCTCCTCCTCCTCTTCCTCCTCATCCTCTTCATACCCAGATCTACCTATACGACCACCCTTCGGGTGATAAGGACGTTCGGGGGGAGGAGGAAACAAAGTCTCACTCGATCGGACTCACTATCGATCTCAGTGCCGATCTTACTACCGGTCTCGGTCGATCGATCTCGCTCGATAGATCTCACAGTCGATCTCATTCGATCTATTTCATTCGATCAATTTCACCATCGATCTGATTATCGATCTCACAATCGATCTGACTTTCGATCTCACTTTCGATCCCACAATCGATCTTGCATTCGGTCGCACTATCGATTTCATTACCGATTTCACAATCGATTTCACAATCACGTCATCAGCATCAACAACATCATCGTCATCAAGGTCATCAACCTCATCATCATCATCATCATCAAAACACCATCGTCATTTTCAGCACATAATCACCGTCATCATCAACATCATCATCATCGTCAGCATCATCATCGGCTCACCATCATCATCACCATCATCATCAACATCATCATCATCATCATCGGGACACCGTTATCATCAGCATCGGAACACCACCACCATCATCATCATCATCATCATTTCATCATCATGAACAACATCATCAACATCATCATCGGGACAGCATCGTCATCGGCAACATCATCATTCAAATCATCATTATCATCGGGACACCATCATCATCATTATCATGATCGCACCATCATCATCATCGGGACACCATCATCATCAACATCTGCATCATCATCACTGGGCCACCATCATCAAACTCATTAACTCCACCACATCATCATCCTCATCATCAACATCATCGGGACACCATCGTCATCATCATCATCATCGGTACACCATCATCATCAACACCATCATCATCAACAGCATCATCATCAACATTATCAACATCACCATCGGGACACCGTTATCATCATCTTCATCACCATCATCATCATCACCATCTCATCATCTCATCATCATCAACATCATCAGGCTTATCAACATCATCATCATCATCATCACCATCGGGACGCCATCATCATCAGCAACATCTGCATGATCAACATCAGCATCATCAGGACACCATCATCATCACCACCATGGCCATCATCAGCACCATCATCATCATCATCATCATCACCATCATCATCATCATCAACATTGCCAACATCATCATCATCGTCATGATCATTGGGACACCATCGTCATCACCACTATCACCATCATCATCAACATCATCAACATCATCATCATCATCATCATCATCATCATCATCATCATCATCATCATCATCGGGTCACCGACGGGACACAGGTGGGACACCGGCGGGACACCGCGGGCCACCGGCCCCCGGAAACGAATCATTCGGTCCGGCCGCGCCTCAGCCAGAGGCGGGACATCGGCGGGACACCGCGGGCCACCGGCCCCCAGAAAGGAATCATTTGGTCCCGCCGCGCCTCAGCCGGAGGAGACTTTCTTCCCGCCCGCTCACGCAGCTTCGCCTCGCCCGCACGCACGGCACGCACGAACACGAAACCGAAACCGATTTCCCGGTAGGGGGGCTCTCCGTTCCACTTCGATCTCACCCCCTCACTTCCGACCCATACACGGACTTACTCATACCCAGCCTTCTTCATGACTTAGTAAGCTCTCGCCCACTCAAATCCATACCTAGTCATAGTCATACCCGCTCCCACTCGTACTCGTGTACATTCTTTGCGGTACAGCTCGTTTCCTGTTACTTGGACTTACGCATGCTCATATATACTCATACCCATATATACACATACACAAACTTATTAATACTCAGATTTACTCATACCTACACTCACTCATATTCGGACTTACTCAATGTGAGACTCACTCATGCGCAGAGTTACTCATACTCAGTCTCGTTCCAGACGTACTCATACACATACCTTTTCCTACTCATACCGGCTCATACTCAGACCTTCTCATTGTCTGAGTTACTCAACGCACAGCATATTGTCAGGATGTCTCAGGCGGGGCGATGGTTTCAGCACCCCCAAAGGGAGCCGCCCAGGGTGTTTTCACGGTCCCGTTCGAAATAATTTTGTG